AGAGAAAGCAAACACACACTAGTTGTAGATTTCCCGGGCTGGACGGCCGTGGTCTTGGCATTGTCGGACCTGATGTTTCGCCAGCAGCTGTGACCGGCATCCTCAGAGCTATCACACAGAAAGACGGAGGACTCTCTGTGTCAAGGTGAGAAGAAAAGTGGTAGGCAGGTCATTTATATCTACTCAGAAAGGTGGGGTAGGGCTAAGTCATTATCTGGTAGGAGTTCCTCAGGCTGTGAACTTGCTAATGGAGGAGCTTTCCTGAGGAGGTTCTTTTGCATATGGATTGGCTGTGGAAATTCTAGTCTTGTCTGTAGTGCTGTTGTCAGATGTAGAGCATTTTGTGTTTTCCAGGACAGGAAATCATGCCCTGTTTACACCTTCCTGAGAAGGTGAGAAGGAGCATGCTAACGGAGGAGCATGTCACAGCCTGGGAAACTCCTACAAGAGAATGACTCAGCCCTACCCCACTTTCCTGAGTAGATATAAATGACCTGCCTACCATTTTTCTTCTCACCTTGACACAGAGGGTACTCCATCTTACTGTGTCATACCTCTGAGGATGCCAGTCACATCTGCTGCTGGTGAAACGTCAGGTCCTACAATTCCAAGACCACGGCCATACAGCCCGGGAAATCTACAACAGCTAATGAACTCCGGCCCTGAAAGCCTTCGACAACATCTCCAACACACACACTGCTGCCGTTTCATGGGAGAGGTCAACATTTAGCCAATAGAAAGCTGTCACCAGGACAGATCTCTAAATTGCAAGCTGTCACCCGCTTGAGATGACAGTTCTCAGCTGCTGCAAGTTAATCACTGCTGCCAGCCTAAGCAACAGCTCTGAGAACAAGCTCGGCAGGTGGGGGTGAGGACTTCTACAGTCAAGAAAGCTAACACTTGGGCAGAAAAACTCTCTTCAAGGAGACTAGTTTCTTGAGACATAGAGTTAGAACGGACCCTAGAGGTCACCCACTCCAACCCCCTTGCCCAGTGTGGGAATCAATCAATCCACAGCACCCCACTCTGCTTAAAGGATCACACACTTTTAAGAAATGTTTTTAAATGACTGGGAAAAGCATTTATGGGAGACATCCTTGTGGGGCTGTGCCTTTAAGAAAGGGGGCAGAGACCCCAAAAGCCCCACCGTAGCCACGGGCCTGCATCCGCCACTTTGCCATGAATTACTATCTAGAGTCCCGGTGAAATGGAAGTTGCAGAGCTGGGGAAAGTACAGAGGAGGAGCGACCCAGATGATAAGGGGGGGTTGGAGCACCTTCTCTGTGAGGAGAGGCTGAAGAGTCCGGGACTTTTCCGTTGAGAAAAGAGAAAACAAAGAGGGGAGTTGAGAAGGGCTTATCGAATTGTGCACGGGTAGAGGATCCAGCAGGGTTCTTCTTAGGTTCCTGTCAGGGGAAGGCCTCTCTGCCCTGTTCGTTGGCCCTCCAGAGGAACTGGTTGGCCACTGTGAGAGACAGGAGGCTGGACTAGATGGACCCTCCCTGGTCTGATCCAGTGGGGCTCTTCTGATATTCTTGCCTCTCTGCCCTGTTGTTGGCCCTCCAGAGGGACTGGCTGGCCCCTGTGTGAGGCAGGAGGCTGGACTAGATGGACCCTCCCTGGTCTGATCCAGTGGGGCTCTTCTGATATTCTTATCAGGGGAAGGCCTCGGCCCCTCTGCTTTGTTGTTGGCCTCTGTGTGAGACAGAAGGCTGGACTAGATGGACCCTCCTAGGTCTGATCCAGCAGGGCTCTTCTTAGGCTCATATCAGGGGAAGGCCTCGGCCTCTCTGCCCTGCTGTTGGCCCTCCAGAGGAACTGGTTGGCCCCCTTGTGAGACAGGATGCTGGACTGGATGGACCCTCACTGGTCTGACCCAACAGGGCTCTTCTTAGGTTCTTCTCAGGGGAAGGCCTCGGCCTCTGTGCCCTGGTGTTGGCCCTTCAGAGGAACTGGTTGGCCCCTGTGTGAGACAGGATGCTGGATTAGATGGACCCTCACTGGTCTGACCCAGTGGGTCCCTTCTGAGGTTCTTATCAGGGAAAGGCCTCGGCCTCTCTGCCCTGATGTTGGACCTCCAGAGGAACTGGTTGGCCGCTGTGTGAGACAGGAGGCTGGACTAGATGGACCCTCACTGGTCTGATCCAGTGGGGCTCTTCTGATATTCTTATCAGGGGAAGGCCTCGGCCTCTCTGCCCTGTTGTTGGCCCCTGTGTGAGACAAGAGGCTGGACTAGATGGACCCTCACGGGTCTGATCCAGCAGGGCTCTTCTTATATCTAATTCCCAAGTTCTAAATAGGAATATAAATCCACAGATAGGGGGTGCACTTACCCCAAACAGGCTTTTGTGCAAACTTCAGTGACCACCCCTGGATTTGCAGAAAAATCTAAAAGGTTAAAGAAAATACATTGGGGCCTTTAAATCCCCCCCAGTAAAATAATTGCCTGCACTTGAAATGCTAGACCTCCTGTCTTGAGGGCAGCCCTTGTCTCAGCCAGTGGCCCTAAACGTTTAGTGCCTGCAGCCACCCTTGGCATTCTGACACAGCATGGTGGGGTACAAGATGAAAGGTAGTGGCACAGCAGTATATGAAAACAAGAAAAAAAAATGCATGTGCCCCAATTTTAACAGCAATAATCAATTAATTTAATAATAGCAAGACAGATAAAATACTCAGAACAAATTTTCCATAAAACAAACAGGTAGAAATTCACTGGTAAAGTTGAATACAGGTAGAAATTCGCAGGTGGAGTTTTTCCACAAACAATTTGTAATAAAATCCGTTTTCCCTCAGAATTTTGAAGGGAGGTCCCGAGAATTGATAGATTCTGCATTGGGAATCACTGACGATGGCTGTATTTGAATATGCTTTATGGATGTCTACATGTACCTTTGAAATGTTGAATCCAGCGTGATTCTTGAAAAACAAATTATTGAAACGGATTTAGAACCAGGGGTCCGTTCAGTCAGCTGGCAAGAAACACTACTACATCCTTACAGATCAAGGACTTTTTTGAATTTATGACAAATTGTTTGTGGGAAAACTACACCTGTGAATTTCTACCTATATTCAACTTTACCAGTGAATTTCTACCTGCTGTTTACAGAAAATCTGTTCTGAGTACTTTATATGTCTTACTGTTATTAAATTCACTGATTATTGGTGTTAAAATTTGGGCACATGCATTTTATTCTTGTTTTCACAACGGGTTGGGGGGCAGTCACAAAATGGTTGCCACGGGAGGAGGAGCCAGCCACATAATGGCTGCTGCTGCTTCCCTTCAGTCACACAGTGGAGATTCTTGTGCTGTGGTGGCAATGACATTTTTGAAAGTCTGCAACACCAATCAAATCTCCGGTGGCCAATCAGGAGCATTTTGGGGGAAAGCCCCACCCACTTTCCAAAAGCACTTTGTGAGCACCAGGAAAGGCATCAGCGGGCACCATAGTGCCCATTGGTACCACCTTGAGGACTTCTGGCATACACCAACTGTACTTATTGATCAGTATCCTTAAGTGGGAAATGTATCTGGCCCAGTGGGAGGGAGGGGGAAGCCACCTCAAACTTGGAAGGCCATTCTTCTAAACGCACCTTTTCTTTGTACGACCGATCCGTAATTCCTTTTTTCTTTTACTGTTGTTTCTTTTTTTCTTTCTGTTTTGTAGGTATAAAGTAATTGATTTTCGTCCCCGTAATACCTTTTTTAAAAATAAATTCCTATGGAAATAAAGACGAACCCCCGCGGCGGCGGCCTAAGGCTCTCCACTGTACGTCTTCCTTTGTAGTTTACATCACCCTCGGCTTAGTAATTTTTGTCCTAGAAGAAGCAATCTCATTTTCCTGGGTCGGGCAGAAAAATTAAGTAGCAAAAGTGTGCATTGACCCCCAAAGAAATGCGTTGGTGTTTTTTTAAGGGGGAAAAAATGCTATGTCCCTAACGCTAAGGGCTTTTTGAACGGGAGGTGAAGAGAGGCAGTGCTTGGGGGGTGTAAATCCCAAAGGAAAACGGGGCTGCTGTGATTTTTACTGCGGAAACGGACATCTTGCAATCTGGCGATCTCTGCTTTTGATCCTTGGCGTCTTATTAGTCATTCCCCGCCCCTTACTTTTGGCTAGTGAGCATTCTGTGTTTAAAATCCCGAATTTCCACACTCTCTTCCCCATAGAAAGCTTCGCTGGTGCTTTTGTTTCTTTTCCTTCAAAACAAAACACGTTTTAAGTGATGATATAAGAATCTTTTAACATGAGAGCGAGAGAGTACCAACCTGCCTGTAACATGCACAAAACCCCTTTGATTTTCAGGTGCACCAGCCCATAATATCCCAAGGATCCTCTGTTACAAAGATAACTTTTGAAGGGCATCAGCCGCCTACCGTGTCCAAGGTGGCCGGAGTCGGTCCGGCGCCTAAGCCGCCCCCGCCCCTCCCAAGCCTCTTTTCGGCCCAGGTGCCCACGAAGGCAGCGGTAGCGGACATTTTGAAAATGTCCATGATGGAAGCTCAGATTGACACGAGCGTAGACCGGGCGGTAGCAGATCCCCCCAGCAGCAAGGCCGTGCCCGCCGGCAACCCGACCGGTGAAGCGGACTCGGCACCCGCCTCGGTGCTGAGGGTGGCCACAGTCGGAACGGGCACAGCCGTGGCAACGTCTGTCTTGCAGCCGCCGAAACGCTTGGACTCTGCGTCGAGCCCTCCCACGGTTGGGCCGTCTTTATTGGAGAGGAAGCAGGCGGTGTCGGCGCCCCCCGCAGCCAGCCAGTTTATCCGTATCCAGAACATCGCCCCGAAGAAAGCAGAGGAGATCCCCACGGAGATCTTAATTCAGGTAATCAGTTAAAAGATCTTCGGGGGGGGGTGAGTGAGAATGGGAGAGTGTCCTTCAGCAGCACAATCGCCAGACCTAACAACACCAGCCATACCATCTCCAATTAATTCACTCGTTCGACTTGACATATATATGTCATCAATTGTCAGTAGCACCCTTTCACTCTCCACGTCAGACAAAAATGTTCAGTCCCTACGCAAAAGAATAAATGGGCATAAAACAGACACTAAGAACCACAACACTCAGAAAACCAGTGGGAGAACATTTTAATATTCTAGGACATTCTGTTGCCAACCTGAGAGTGGCCGTTTCCCTTGTCCTACATTCTCAAACAGAGAAGCTTCAAGGGGAGATTGCAACGTGAGATTGCTGAACTTAACTTCATTCACAAGTTCAGAACAATGGAACCCCCCCAGGGCTGAATGGAGATGTCGGATTCTTATCTTACTACAGATACTAAGGTTCTGCCTCCAGACTTTTCTCCCCTGTTCGAATCGAGCCGATAACATTCTGCATTGTACTTCTGCATCCTGACTCCCTTCTTTGCAACACCCCTCCCACATTCTGACAGGGATATAAGGACGTGGGAATCTCCATTCCCACTTGTATCTGATCAAGGGAGTTTTGGCTGTCAAAACCTGACATCCCGAAAATCTTATTGGTCTCTAAGATGCTGCTGGACTTAGGTCTAGTTGCACAATTTCTGCCTGGCCTTGCTAGCCAACCAGAGTTTGTGCCCGCTACTAATCTGTGTCCTCAGGGTAAGGGCAGGAATTCACTTGTGTCACGCCGACTTTGGGGGGCACTCAACTAACAAAATGTCCCCAAAGTCAGGAAGATTCCTAGACCTCTCACAACCTCTGGAGAGGGCTCAGGGACACATGCTGAAATCTCACCAGATGTTTTTTTAAAAAACATGCATCTGTAACTGGTCGGCACATTTGTGAATCCAGTTTGGTGTAGTCAACCAACACATGCTGAAATCTCACCAGATATTTTTTTTAATGCATATGTAACTGGTCAGCACATTTGTGAATCCAGTTTGGTGTAGTGGTTAGGAGCATGGCCTCTAATCGGGGAGAACCGGGTTTGATTCCCCACTCCTCCACATGCAGCTGCTGGTGTGACCTTGGGTCAGTCACAAGTTCTCTCAGAGCTGTTCTCTCACCAGCAGTTCTCTCAAGAGCTCTTTCAGCCCCACCTACCCCACAGGGTGTCTGTTGTGGGAGGGGAAGGGAAAGGAGATTGTGAGCCACTCTGAGACGCCTCCAGGTAGTGAAGGGCAGCGGTATAAATCCAATCAGTTCTTCTGCTTTCAAACAAGTGAAGATCATGCAACCAACGTAACAGCTGAGCCAGTTTGGTGTAGTGGTTAAGAGCCAGTTTGGTGTAGTGGTTAAGTGCGCGGACTGTAATCTGGGAGAACCGGGTTTGATTCCCCCACTCCTCCACTTGCACCTGCTGATGTGACCTTGGGTCAGTCACAAGCTCTGGCACAGCTGTTCTTGAAAAAGAGCAGTTTCTGTCAGAGCTCTCTCAGCCCCACCTATCTCGCAGGGTGTCTGTGGTGGGGAGGGGAAAGGGAAGGAGATTGTAAGCCGCTCTGAGACTCCTTCGGGTAGTGAAGAGCGGGGTGTAAATCCAATCTCCAAAGAGCGATGAACACGTGGAATTCACTGCCGCAAGGAGTGGTGGCAGCTACAAGCAGACAGCTTCAAGCCACAAGGTATATATGGAAGACAGTGATGCTCTGTATTCTCGGTGCTTGGGGGGCAACAGTGGGAAGGGCTTCTGGAGTTCTGGCCCTGCTGGTGGGCCTCTTGGGTTTCAGCCTGGATGGGCTATTGCCCTGATTCAGCATGGCTTCTCTTATGTTCTTAATAACCTCCAAAACGTCCAATCATTAACAGCCTTGCTCAGGTGGTCCTGCAAACCGAGGGCCATGGCTTCCTCGATTGGATCGATCCATCTCATGTTGGATCTCCCTCTTTTTTTGCTGCCTTCAGCTTTTCCTAGTGTCATTGTCTTTTCTAGCGACTCTGGTCTTCACACAATGTGACCAAAGTACGATAGCCTCCGTTTAGTCATTTTAGCCTCTAGGGAGGATTTACGATTGGTTTGATCTTCGTGCGTTAAGTGCCCTCAAGTCGCTTTCCACTTACGGTGACCCTATGAATTAGCACGCCCAATCTTAATGACCTCCAAAATGTTGCTCCGGTCTTGCTAACTGAGGGTCGTGGCTTCCTCGATGGAGTCCATCCATCTCCTGTTGGGTCTTCCCCTTTTCCTTCTACCTTCGACTTTTCCCAGCGTTGTCTTTTCTAGTGACTCTTGTCTTCTCATAATGTGCCAAAGTACGATCGCCTCAGTTCCCATTATCTTCCTTGCAGACAGCTTGCACAGCTATCCCTTTACTCATACGTGGTATTCCCTTTTCATTTTCCAGACTATCCCTCAGTATTCCGTGGCCTGCCACTCCACCTCCAACGTGGTCGTGGAACCCAGTGGGCTCCTAGAACTCAACAACTTCACCAGTCAGCGCCTGGACGACGAGGAAACCGTCATGGAGCAGGACGTTGACAGCAGCAATGAGGAAGGAGCCGAACCCAGCCCCATGCCGAGCTCGGAACAGTCCTAGCGCCCCCTGGAGGCGCCAGTGCGCACTTTATACACATGGGAAGAATACAGCCTCGGCCGTCGGCATCCAAGGCACCCCTGTGTTCTCGCAAAGCACTTTGTCCACACGGGGAGGGTGTCGGGCTCGGATCCTTTGCACGCGGGGAGTGTTAATTTGACAGTATCGGCAAGGCTGGATCACGGAATGGGGGGAGGCGGAGTCCGCCATACCAGGGTCAGCTTTTACGGCAGCCGAATGTGTTACTTCAAGCAGAGGAGAGAGAATGATGCAGGGCTTTCCTTTTCTTTTTCTTTGTCGTTGCTACGGTGTCCAAGATCAGCTACTGTAGCCTCTTGAAAGTAAAAGAAATAACTGGAGAGACCCTGTTTGTAAGCAGCGGAAGGAAGATCTAGCACAAAGAGCCTTTTTTTGTTGTTACATGGCGTTCCAGGTTTCTGAAAAGAGTCCTTCACAGGGCCGGGAAATCACCTAAAGAAATTCCAACCTTGAGGCTTTTTTTGGTTGTTGTTTTTAAGTTAGCTGGAGAAGAATTGGCCTTGTTTCTTTCTGTTTTTTTTTAAAATAGTGTTGGTTAATGATGAGGAAAGAGCAGAAGGTGGGGGAACACAATGGGAGGGGGATTTGCTCCATACAAGAAGCGTGTTTTTTCGGTCTGTCACGCAGATTTGAAAATTTCGAGCCCGTCCCGCCTTGCAAAGACATTTTATTTAT